CCTCCCCCAAATTATGACTTTGCAAGAGCGAAACGGACTCACCTCCCCATGCAGGAAGCCTCGACGAGGGATCTAATTTCGTTTCCAGCCCGGCGGATTCGTCAAGAAAGGGGTTTTCCAATAGAAGGGGAATTTTTTTTTCCGGGCCTGGCGATGACGAAGGTTGCTTTTTAAATTCAGGGTGGGTCTTTTTAACAAGTAAAACAAAACAAATCCCACCCCCCTGCGAAAGGCCAACCGTGGCGAATCGGCCACTCGGGAAAAGAAGGCTCATTAGCCTCAAAGTCTCAGAGTCCGTACCGGCGCCCTCTGGCGGCAGAAGCCGCGCATCTCTTGTCGCCGCTGTTGAGTGGAATGGAAAACTGGATAATGAAAAATACATACATTTAAGTAGAAATTATGCTGAGATTTCTTTCTCCCGGCTCCCAAATCCACCCTGCACCCATCATCCCCAGCCAACAAGGCAGCCCGGATGGAAATTGTAATCTTAACAGGCCTTGCCCGCATGCACGTTCTCCTGTTGCTGCGTTTTGAACATCTGAACACAAACCCAGGCCAATAAACCTGCATTGGATGAAAAAATGGTACTAAAGTCCACCCCCGGGACAAATCCTAGCTTTGCATAGGATTGCAAGCAAGGGATGAAAGATATATATATTTTTGCCCTATGTGACTTCGTCTGACTGGCCTCAGACTGGTGAAACGTCACTCCAAGGGAATCTGGTCCTATGGGCCCATTTTACAGGGGAGGAATACTGAGATCCAGGAAGAGATGTAAATGGAGGCTGAGAATGAAATCTGCTTGCTTTTTGCTGGCAGAAAAAAAAAAGCTTTGCAGGGACTGAAGGCAGGAGGGGGAAAGAGGGTTAATGATAAGATAAGATAACCTTTATTGTCATTTTTATACTGTGGGCACAGTGGCACACATCAAAAATGAAAATCCAGGATTATTTTCATTTCTGAAAAGCTTACTCTTTATTGAATACATGGCCTGGTAAAGGCAAGGTAAAACTAACTCTAAAATCCCAAGGCATCCGTCCATGTTTTCAATAAACAAGTCAGCTTTTCAGAAATGAAAATAATCCTGGACTTTTATTTGGATACTTGAGCTGGAGGTTGACATATGTGTTTCCTTAAAGTCCGCCCCTTTCTGAACATGAATATGTAAAATACACACCAACCTAAAGTCAAAATGACTACAATTGGAAGTAACCGAATGCAAATCAAAGCTGGATTTTATTATTGGATCCCATTCCCTACCACCCCCGCTCCCCCCCTATATGCCCCACTGTATTTCTTCCATGTCTTGAATTCCTCGAAATTTTAAAATCACATCTTCATCCATTTCAGATTGTTTCTTTAGCTCGGTATGTAATTCCTGATTGTCCCATAAATTTCAGCCCCTGAAGCAGCATTAAAAGCCAAAGAGAGCGCGCTGCCATTCACTGCTTCCACCCCAGCGTTTCAGATCCACGCAGGATCATATCAGAGTGCACCATCCTTCTTCCTGAGGCACTTCCACTGCCAGCTGGAAAACACACAAAAATGGACCATTTGTTACTTGCTGATGTCCGGAGCTCTGCGGGAGATGTTCCTTTGCCATCAGCCCTGCAACTCAGAAGGCGATAATTTGCTGTAGCCAACACCGAAGCAGCAATTCAGTTCAATGGTTTAAAATAATTTTAAACATTATTTTAATTTTTTCTCATGCATATTTCATTCTGTCCTTCCTTTTGCAGACTTTCTTTAATCATTCTATTCCACCATTTCTTTGATATTAGTGTAACTCTTGTCCCGCAGCAAGCTGACCGTGGCAAGCTGGCTGCAGGGAGTTGGCAACGGCAAATTGTCCTAGATGCCAACTTTGGAAGAGCAAAGCCGAATTCTGGAAGAGACCATAAAACCAGGCCGTGCCCCATTTCAAAGCACAAGCCCGTTGGGTTCACCCTGCTCTAGGTTTACCCCAAAGATACCCAGCAAATAAGCAATTCTTTTTTCCTCACCGGCACATTCCAGGGTTCAACGAAAGAACCATCCGGGTTCCGACACCACTTCATGGAAGCACAAGCTTTTGCTTTTTTTGCAAGCAGATCCCAGCGTTTTCCCTCTCCAACATTTGCAGTTGGATCTGCTGGATCAAGGATCACTGGCCTAAAGTCCAAATAAGAGAATTTTACGGTCATTTGCACAAGCCGGAACAGATGGTGAACCTTGTCCTTGAGGGCAGGCCCTGTTGAAATTTCCCAAGCCTGTTAACATATTTAGATTTTTAACAACGCATTTAGCCCGTTCTTGGTGGATCTACCCATTTCACAGCCGTGCTAATAGTAGGGCTACCATAGCTGGGTTGCAAAAAATGCAGGTAGATGGCAGCAAACAGCCGTGTGTCTCTTCGCTGTCTTCTATTGCAGGGGTCCCCAACCCTCCCCGGCCATGGACCAGCATTGGGCTGTGGCATGCCAGCAACCGGTCCGCGCAAACAAGCGAAGCCGCATCTGCAGGATGCAGGCAGCACACGAAACCAGGCCCCCTCCACTTCGTGGAAAAACCTCTCGCCACGGAACCGGTCCCTGGTGCCCCAAAGGTTGGGGGCCAGCAGGTTCATAAATGGTATTCCTAGGTCAGATGAAAGTCAAGCTAGAACTTCAGGATTAATTTTGCAAGCAAAGAAGGGAAGCTGGAGGGGAAAAAAACCCATCAATTTCTTTTCCCAGAGCTGGGCAGGATTTATATCACAGCTGCTTTGCTCTTTCACCACTCCAAAAAGGAAGAGACACTGAAGCATAAGACAACCGAAGGAAGCAACAGTTTTTCTGCATTTTACTCCAATTTGAAGCTAGCTAGGAGCTGTTGCAGGAGTTTCTCCACTATGACAAATCTCATTACTGATTTTTGAAAAACGACTGTCTTGGGATCCAGGGTGGGAGACTGACCTGTTTTTAGAGAGCTGGGTCTGTAAGTATCTCTTGATGGTCTCATTATCAAAATCATAGTATGTTGTCCAATAGATGCGAATCTCCTTATATTTCTCAATGAGCCAAAGCACTGTACGGAAACCCCTCGCCATGTCGAATTTGGTCTCTCTACTTCCTTTCTCCCAGACGTAGACAGTTAGTAGCTCAAGGGCATACTTGGGGGGGAATGACTTTTCTTGCACCTGGGTCATATAGAAAATTAGTTTAAATAAAACTCACTGAACTATTTGAATGATGGTCCATCTTTGGCTATCTCACAATAATTAGCGCCATTTGAAGGCAAACGTGCTTAAGCAGACTGTATTTGAAATGGTGCTCATTATTTATTTTTCTCTCTCCCAAAACATAAAACAATGAGAATCAAAACTATATAATGAAAGTCAAAAAGCACCATGGAAAAAAATGGGACTAAGATTAAATATAAAGCGGACCACACGATAATGACGACGGCCAGCACTGGAATTGACAATGGATTGCACCCGGAAGATGGCAGCTCGGACATTCTCAGGTGTTGGGATGTGTTTATGGCAACAAAGATCAGAATCCTGCAAACGGTGGTGGTGTCCCTTGAGACCCTCTCTAAAAGTGAAAGTTGCTGCTGGAAGAGACCCCTGAGGATCCATGAATAGCCACGAAAATAAACAAAAGAACGAATCAGTTCAGAATGCTCATTCCAGGCACAAATGACCAGGGTCAAATGATCGTATTTTGGACTCATCCAGCAAAGACCCAACGCCCTTGAAAAGTCTTTGACACTGGGAATTATGGAAGGAAAGAGAAAGGAGGATCACTGGTACCAAAAGGAGAGCAGAATCTCAGGTGCCACATTAGGCTTCGCTGCCATGAACTGGAGAGAGGGATAACTATGGGAGGGGGGATGTTTGGGGGGAAACCGAAAACTCTGCCACCTCAGGAAGCTGTTCCAAGGCAGGAAAACCCCTGGGAATTTCAAAACTGTTGGCTAAACTGAAAATTGAAAAAAAAAATCCTAGGGGAAAAAAAAAAACCAGTAGCAATAATGAAAGTAGTTTGCTGTTGCATTTTTTCCCATCCTGGCCTAGCCTACAGCCCAGGGATTACCTGGTGGTCTCTCATCCAATTTACTGAGTTCCCTCAACTTTGCTTTCCAGTTTCAGCCAAAGGACACTGTTATTCACAGGGAAACCGGATTCCATAAATTGGGACCACGAACCAATTCTTCAGGCAACAAACCTCTTTGTACCAGTGTTTCACCAGGCGGATCAGGTTCTTCAGCTTGGTGGGACGGTCCACTATGAAATTCTTTTGCAACTCTGTGAAGCAGGAAGAGAACTCGCCACACCTGCCTGTGCGGATCAGATTGACGTATATCTGAGGGTCAGGCCTGGATCGATGATACTGGCCTGTGAAGAGAAAGTTCAAGTAGGCCTTTTTGAAATTCTCCACCAACCTTGTAGACAGAGCATCCCACCCAATTTCTCCAGGAGAAAAAGGAACCTTCAACCGTTTCTGAAAGGCAGGACTAACAGCAGCTCCTTGGCTCCTGAAGGAGCCCGGGAAAGAGAGACACCCCCCCTTCCTGGATCCTCTGCTGGGACTGCAGGGAAACTGAGGAAGCCAGCTGGGTGTGCAAAGCCCACCGACATTCACAGCCCCTCAAAATGTGTCCAAGGAGAGCCCTTTTCAGGCAGAAAAACTTCACCCATGTGGCAAAAAGCAAAGGAACAAGAACAGTTTGCAAGACACTGGATTTTTCTGCTTCCTCTTCAGCTGGCAGCTTATTTGTCAGAACCACAGTGGGCCCTGGGGACTTTCTGAATTGCTTACATAAGCTACATTCGCTTTAGTGTTCGCCCTGCCTCTGGCGCTCCCTGCCCAACTGCCCTAGCTGAGGAGTGGCTTTCTCTGCTCACCTAGGGCATCGTAGGCCGGCAGGACATCAAATTGAACAGAATCCCCTGTCTCTCGTGAATGTAGCGTGAACTGGAGCACACGAGGGTTGGCATGAGGGGAGTGCTCAAAGTCAACTTCCCAATACATCTCCTTCTGGCATTTGCTGAGCTGCCTTTTCATCTCCTGGATGATCATCTTCCGATCCTTTTCCTGGTCTGTGTAACTTTCGAAGATGTTCAAGAACAGCACCAGGTCAGCATCTGACCCATTTCTCATTGATGTGCCTTTTCCCAGTGACCCTCCCTGGAAAAAGGAAAAAGGGAGTGAGTCTCCTGGGCATTTGCACCAAGAGATACACGGAACATATGCAGTTGCCATCACCTAGTTGACGTTATGAAGAGGAAGGTAATAATGGGGGTGGGTGGGTGGGGTGTTGTACCTAGCACGCCATCAAGAACAACCTTTCTGATATAATATACTTTTTCACAGGGCTCTTGGCAACAGGGCCATCCTTGCCCACTGGATACTCCAGCTCAGGACCTCCTCAGAGTCTAACTGCTCTACTCGGATGTCCGTTTCCCTTCCCCGGGCAGAATCTCTCCCCCCCCATCCCCCCCCCCCCAGGCACCTGCCTGCCCATCCTCTGCTCACCTTGACCACCTTCCGCACCCGGGTGCCGCCCCAGGGCGCATCCTGGAAGCAGCGCGCCTTGAGAAAGTCGCAGATGTCATTGACGGCCCCGCGCGCCTTGCGGAGAAAGTCCTCGTTGGGCTGCAGGTGGCAGGCGTGGAAGGTGTCCAGGCCCCGCGCTTCGACATCGCGGAGAGACCCCATGGCCGGGCAGCGGAGTGGAACTTCCCACGCAACCCTCTGGTACAGCCCGGCGCCTTCCAGACTTTCGTTTCTCCTCCTTTGCGGCACTTTCGTTTCTCCGGAGGGTGGAGCCGGCAGCGCTTGGAGGGCCGAGAGAGACGGCTGAAAAAAGGAACCCGGAGAGGGAGGCGAGGGAGAGGAAGGGGCGCGCCCTCCCGCCGATCTGTTCTTGTCCGAAGGAGAACGGCTAAAAGGAAAGAGAGCTTAGCTAGGTGTTTTTCATAGTATTTGATATTAGAGCATTTGCACTTTTATACAGGCTCAGAGACCCTGTCCTGACGGGGAGAACAATTAATCAGCGGAACGGCCTGCCTCCCGAAGTTGCGGATGCCTCCTCCTCCATCGCTGGAGGTTTTTAAGAAAAAACTTGTAAGGAATGGTATATAGGGTTTCCTGCTTGAGCAGGGGGCTGGACTAGAAGACCTCCGAGGTCCCTTCCACGATTCTAGGTTGAAGAAGTCCTTAAAGGGTTTGTAGAAAAGATACAGGCTCTAAGATGAGGGATTATATGATAGCAATTTTCCAAATATCTGAGTGACTGCCCTAAAGATGAGAGGGTCAAGCTATTTTCCAAAGCACCAGAAGGCAGGATAAGAAACAACAGATGGAAACTAATCAAGGAGAGAAATAATTCTAAAACCAAGGAGGGATTTCCTGGCAGTTAGAACAATTAACCAGTGGAAGGCCTTGCCTTCCGAAGTTGTGGGTGTTTCATCACTGGAAGGTTTTAAGAAAAGACTAGCCAGCCATTTGATCGGAATGGTATAGGGTCTCCTGCTTGAGTAGGGGGTTGGACTAGAAGACCTCCAGCTATATTCTAATTGACTGATTGATTGATTGATTGATTGATTGAGTCAGATTCTCAGGATAAGAAACTTCTCTTACATTCTCACAAAGCCTTCCTTTGGTTAGATGGGATGAGCAAGGGTCCACATTGTTTGTTGTGCAGTCGCTCGATTTTTTTCCCACAAAACATTGAAGTCTGGCCGTGGTACAGAGTCTGTAAGAAAGCCATCAAGATTTCAAGGTGCTTGAATAAATGTTTCTGTCCTCTTTCTATTCTTGTCTGAATTAGCTGCAGATGTAGTAACTTTTCCTTTCTGCTCAGATTCTGACTGTTGCTGTGTCTGGGTTGCCAAAGCGTGAGTGGCCAGCAGATGGCAGCAGCGGGATACAAACGCTCTTAATGCTTTACTGCCATTAAGCAGCTTTCTGAATACAGGAAGGTCTTGATTTACATCGCTTCATTTAGTGACCGTTCAAAGTTACAACGGCACTGAAAAAAAAGGACCATTCTTCACTCTTACATTTTTCACTCTTTGCAGCATCCCCATGGTCACGTGATCAAGATTCAGACGCTTGGCAACCGGTTCATATTTACGACGGTCGCAGCGTCCCGGAGGGGGGGTGTCACATGGTCCCCTTTTTGCGACCTTCCGACAAGCAAAGTCAAGAGGGAAGCTGGATTCACTTAACCAGGTTAGTGACTTATCAACTGCAGTGATTCACTTAACAACTGCGGCAAAAGAGGTCGTAAGATGGTCCAAAGCTCGCTTACCCAGTGTCTCGCTTAACAACGGAAATTTTGGTTCTCGGTTGTGTACTGTACTGCAGGGATCTCCAACCCTGGCAGCTTTAAAGGCTTGTGGACTTCAACTCCCAGAATTCCTCAGCCAGCTTTGAACCGCAGCCTGAAGCGTATCGTTAAACGATTGCACGTTTCATTCTACTGTCTGCTTATGCAGATAAGCAACCCTGGCATGTCAAAACTTTGCTCAAGTCTTGGAGTTAGGCAGGCTACAGGTGCTTTTTTCCCTCCAAACAGGCACAAATTTCACGCTGCAACTTGTTGTGAAGAGAAAAGGGGCAAATGAATTAGCTCAGCTCATCATCGTTCAGGTAAGAGTGCCGGAGTCCCACTTTGGGAGTGGAGAGTTACAATCCCCGGCCTTGTTTCTGGGGATCCTAAACAGACACAGATAAATAGCAAGCTCCAGAAGGGAGGGATCCCCTGTTATTTGCATTCGGTTCCCTCCCGCAGCAGTGAAGTTTTACCTCCTCCTCGGACAGAGCAATGAGGGTCAGACTCCAGTTTCAGTTTTGCAGATTCTCCCATCTAGTTTGGAGTGACAGGGCAACAAAGAGACCTTTATGATCCTCTCAGGTGATGCTGGGGACCACAACACAAAAGCCATGTGTGGCCCGGACTCTGGACTTGGCTCTGCCACTGATGATTGTTTTCCTGCCACTTCAGCGGGGCGCAGCTTGCTTTAATAGCCCGTTCTCAAGTGATAAGCAGAAGATAAGGGTCCCTGCGAGCTTCCTTGGGCCTTCTCAGGACATCTGGAAGAAACTGCCTCCGTTGGGCTGTGCTGCAGAGACCAAGGCCACCAACCCTGGCCACCAAAGGGACAGAGATGCCGTGGTAAGGCCACCCTTGGAATGCGGCATCCAGTTTTGATTGCCATGATACAAAAAAGATCTTGAGACTCTGGAAAGTGTGCAGAGAAGAGCAACAATGATGATCAGGGGGCTGGAGGCTAAAACATGTAAGGAATGGCTGCTGGAATTGGATATGTCTAGTTTAATGAAGAGAAGGATGAGGGAGGACGTGATAGCAGTCTTCCAGTATTTGAGTGGCTGCCACAAAGAAGAGGGAGTCAAGCTATTCTCCAAAGCGCCTGAAGGCAGGACAAGAAGCAACGGATGGAAACTAACCAAGGAGAGAAGCAACCTAGAATTAAGAAATTTCTTGACAGTGAGAACAATTAACCAGTGGAACAACCTGCCTCCAGAAGTTGTGGGTGCTCCATCACTGGAGGTTTTCAAGAACAGACTGAACAGACACTTCTCTGGAATAGTATAGATAGGGTCTCCTGCCTGAGCAGGGGGTTGGACTAGAAGACCTCCAAGGTCCCTTCAAACTCTGTTATTCTGTTGGTCTTGGAGGTTCACAAGCCTGTCTCTCCTTCCTCTCCAAAGATGCCAGTAATTCAGAGAGGGAGAAATAGTATCATTACATTTTCTTGCTGTTTTTAAGGCGGGGTTTTCCCTTCCTGTCAATTCAATTTTTCACAATAAATAAGTTTTATTAATATTAATAAAATCAAGCCAAAATGGCTTGTTTGTGATGCTGTGGTCTCTCTGGTGAAGCTTATGCAATATGGGTTGTGGGACCTGATTCATAGTTTAGTAGCGGGAAGAAACATCCAGCTGTAGTTTATTCAATGAACCATGGTTAGCCAAACCATGGGATAGTGCGCTGTGGGAAAACAGCATCAATGAACTAAATTCCTATTGTGGAAGAATTATAAAGATAATTCTTTATCTTTACAAAGAGATAATCCACCTTCCCGCATAGACGGATTTTGGGCTGTACGGCATGGGAAGAATTAACTTGCTTCTTCTCCATTATCCAAAGAGCGCAGAAAGTTTTATACCGTACAAGCTGGATACTCTAAAACCTTAATTCTTGCTGGAGACATGCCCCCCCTAAAATCTGAAATCACATAAGCAGAGTAATTATCCCACATCAAGAGCCCGTTGTTTGCAGCTTACAAGGAAATGCTGAGAGGGATATTTTGAGTAAGAACTCTGCAAATATTGTCTCGGAGGTAGGCAGTTCAAATAGGGTTTTTATGAAATTCTAAATGGCAGGAGAAATCCTTCTGGCCTCTCTCTAAACAAAGAGCTTGGACTGAAAAAAAAAATACAGTAGGGTAAAGAGGGAGGAAAGAGGGAAAACCTGGAAACAGGAGACCTGCGGGAGGGGGGGGGCATAAATGTTATCAGTCAATCAACTGTCCAGGCCGAAACATCCCAGAAAAAGATGTTTATAGCACCATCAATAGCACTTAGATTTATATACCGCTTTACAGCCCTCTCTAAGCGGTTTACAGAGTCAGCATATTGCCCACCAACAATCTAGGTCCTCATTTTACCGACCCCAGAAGGATGGAAGGCCGAGTCCACCTTGAGCCGCTCAGGATCGAACTCCTGGCAGTGGGCAGAGTCAGCCTGCAATGCTGCATTCTAAGTGCAGTGCCACTGCGGCTCTTTTTCCGGAACATATTTATCCTCTCTTTAAAACCATTGGCATGTCATTTCCCCTTCTTTGGTATTTTACTCTTAGCAAGGCTGGTGGCAGAATTCTCCTCCACTCCTACCCATAAGCAGGTTACAAGGACCGTGGTAGCTTCTGGTCCCACAAGCCACGGATCTCAGTGCCTCGCAGGGCTGGCGTTCCGTGTCTGCCTCTGCAACTTTCCCACTTGCTCTGGTTTCTGCAGAAAAGAACATGACACATCAGCTCCTCTCCCCGGCCTGGCTCCGCTTTCCCGAGAGCATCCAAATTCCCGGAGGAAACTGCCCCGCAGCTCTCTAAACCCCCTTAAGTGGCAGAGGAAAAAGGGGGCCTCTCCAGCCTTTGACGCTTAACACAATCGCACAAAAGAGATGAATGTGCTTCATTAGCCCAGGAATAGCTACTCCCCGTTCCTTGCAACTCTATAGGTCAGCCTGGGTGGTACCACCCCAGCGTGATCGACCCCCGCCTTGTCACGAGCCAGGAGAGTTGTGACTGGGGCACCTTGCAGGGGGATTAAACCTGACCCCACCGCCCTTCACACACCCCCTCCCCACCTCCCCTGGAGCTGAGCAGGAGATCTCACTGCCTCCTTGTCCTCGTGGTCCCTCCTTTGTTAGGGCTTATCAACAGTGCTAATAAAGGAGAATATTTTAGTTCAGAGTCAAAATGAGGGGTCCTTGGTGCTCTCTGAGCTTGCTTGCAGTCTTGCAGAGGTTTCATGACCCAAGCTAGGTAACGTCTTCAGAGTTAGAAGGGAGTGGGGTTTGCTCAATCAGGAAGTAACCCCACTCCCTTCTAGCACTGATGATGTTCCCTACTTGGGTCATGAAACGTCTGCAAGACTGCAAGCAAGGTCAGAGAGCTCCAAGGACCCCACTTATCAACAGTGTCTCCAATCTCTTCCCCTTCCCTTGGCGCGAGTTCGTGTCTTCCCATGGCACAGCTTTGAAAAGGGAGACCCTCTCCTAACGCCCCTCTGATTGTCCTTGTGTAAAGCCCCCCACCATCCCGTGTCACAGTGCCGGCTTTCCCAGTTCTGGGATAGGATGTCCATCACCCCCCTTCATCCAGATCGATGTTCCTCAACCTGGCCAACTTTAAGAAGGAGCCTTCTCAGTAAAAGAAGAGGTACAGATCGGTCAAGATACGAAGCGGCTGCATCAGGAAGGAACACCTGGGCTGCCCTTTCCCCCCCCTTGGAAAAATTGCCGGGAAGCCAACACAGCCGACCCCAGTTCTGACACAGCGATGGACGCAATGATGGACAAGGCCAGCACGTTTACCGTCTGAGAATCAGCCAAGGTTCCACAGCCCCTTCCAGCCAACACAACCCTTTCTGTGCTGATACATTATCAGCTATTATCTTCCAAAGCGCCACGTAACCAGCCTGCTGAACACAGAGCAACTTTTCTGGTCAGACAGCAGCGGAATCCAAGTCGGTACAATGAAAACAAACCCAACCACAGATAAACCGACAGCCTCCCTCCCAGAGGAGGTGCACCCTGGTTTATCTGCACAGCATCACCCTGAGAAGTGCACATAAAGCAGATTTGCGCACCTCCGGGCCAATCTTTGGTCTCTTAAATAGGGCACCATGTTCCCAAGTTCCCAGTCTTCTGGGGATGCTGTGTGCCAGTGGGTGTTGCTGGACCACAAGCTCCCTTAGTCTCTTCCTCTTGTGCAGTGGGCTGTGGGTGCTGGGAACTGTAGTTGGCAGGCTACAATCAAAGCTAATTAATTGGCTTTCTCTGACTCCTTTGCTTAGCAAAGAGCCGTCGACAGAGACATGCTCGGTATCACAAGACAAGATTAGAGATTAGAGAACAAACGAAATGGTATCATAAAGAGAGTAAAAGAATTGAAATGGAAAACGGGCCGGTCACATAGCCAGAAAGCTGAAGGCAGGTGAGCCAAGGCGGTCCTAGAATGGATCCACTTGATCCAAAACATCCACGAAGGAGACCTAAAACCAGATGGATCGACCGCATCAGCAAGTATGGCGGGCCCAATTGGGAAGAAGAAGAAGAAGAAGAAGAAGAAGAAGAAGAAGAAGAAGAAGAAGAAGAAGAAGAAGAAGAAGAAGAAGAAGAAGAAGAAGAAGAAGAAGAAGAAGAAGAAGAAGAAGAAGAAGAAAAAATTAATTATAAGCTGAAGCTGCTCTAATAAAACATTATGCTCTGGGATTGAGAAATTTTGCAGAAGACGGGATATCTCGCTTGGCATTCGAGCATTGGGGAAGCCTGCTTTGAAGTCTTTTCAAGCCTTTTTTCTGCTTTCCTTTTAAAATCAGCAGCTTTTGCAGCACATCAAGTAACAGATCAAGGCTGAGAATCTGGGCGGCTTCCTTGAAGGAAGCCTCTGGGGAGACACAATCTGATGAGATTTAAAAAAGACTATTTCATTTATCATTTTATTCACGGGTTTGGCGTTGAGGTCTAACGGCCAATTTCTATCAGGCTCAGCAGAAGGAAGCTCTTAAAGCAGAGGGCTGTTTCTCACCCGCAACAATTTTAAGATGTGTGAACTTCAACTCCCACAATCCCCCAGCCAACAGCTTTTCTCAACCTTTTAGCAGAATTCTAGGGAGTTGAAGTCCGCGCAACTTAAAGTTGTGGAGGTTGAGAAACACAGATTTGGATGTTCCTTGCCTGCCATGAGAGAAGACTTGGGGGCTCCCCAAGATTGTGAATCTTGACGACCAGATTTTCTTTTTACCAGATGCAGGTGGCAATGAAGCTCGGCTTTCCCATCTGAGCACCTCCTTGGGTGCTGTCCAAAAACGTCTGGGAAACAGAACCAGGAAGGGGAGCTGAAAACAGAACTGCTTTATCTCACTTGAAAAGTCTCCGGGCTCTGCTTTTGCCGTGACTTTTGCTCTGCAGAGCAAGAAGACCAAACCAGACCTGTTTTGCAGCCATCAGCTGAGGCCACAGATACACACACACACAAGATACACAAAAAACACACATTCTCATTTGTCGAATTAAGCCCCAAGGGGTTTCACTGCCTCGTAAGTGACCCAGCCGCTTTGATCTGGCAAAGTTGGCACGCACCAGGCAGAAGGAGGCAACTGGTTACAGCCAAGTAGCCACGAGACAATTCAGTTTAATTATTTAAAAGAATTAAAAAAAATATTTTATTTTGTTTGTCATTCACAATTTCTTTTTGTCCCTCTCGCCTTTGGCATCTTTTCTTTAATGATCCTATTCCACTATTTCTTCGATATTAGGATAACTCTTGTCCCGCAGTGCGTTGGCCTGACTGCGGCAAGTTGTCGTGGATCCCACACCAGGTTCCTTCGATTAAGCAAGGCCCCATTTGGCAGGGCCCTGGAAGCAGACCTTCTCTGTTGCAGACCAGCCTTCTTCCCCTTGTGATCTGGGTATTCCCCCACAAACACACACACACACACACACACACACACACACACAAACACATCCTACTGGTGTTTTGGAGACTCTTGAAGACCTGGCACTTCGCCCAGGCCTTTCATGAGGGGGACTGAAGCCCCTTCTTGGTCCCCAGTTTTGCCATCTCCAGTTTTGGTGGCTTCTTCTTGTATTCCTGTGTTGCTTTTATTGTTTTATCGCTTTCATATTTTCTTGTGAACCGCCCTGGGTTGTTGAGGGCCGGGCGGGTACAAAACAAATAAAAGCAGTAAATAAGTAAATAAAATTATTTTGTTTTATCGCTGGGATCTATCTCCTGGCAAACGATATATAGCACTCCCGAACGTCGCGGTTAATAATGGCATTCCTTTTGACGCTACCGAGTGTAACATCCTGCAGCAATGAGCAGCTTAAATGAATTATACCGCATTTAAGGATCAGTCTAAAAGGGATTCCCACACTGACACGATCATCAGATGCCTGTCAGCCAATCCGCAGTCTCCCTCTTGCTTGCTTTTGACCTCCCCAATCCTCCTCACCAGGTTTTGTGTGAGATGGGCGGGTCTGTTCTCAGGTGATGGGTGAGTCATCCCAGCCTTGGGAGCAGCAGGAAATGCAGAAGCACCTGGAGGAAGAGAGGCAGGTTGTGTGCCAGCAGCCTAAGACTAATCCCTAAAGGGGACTAAAATCCTCCAATACACACACACACACACACAACTGTGGTTGGTGGGGGTCCTGTATTTGCACAAGACACGAAGCAAAATGCACATCCTTAGCCCATCTGCTTTTCGAAGGACAGAATTATCCAAGCATGCTTTAAAATACACACACTTGTTTTGTTTTTTTTAATACAAGGTGCTCCTCGACTTACAACAGTTCATTTCATGACCGTTCCAAGTGACAACAGCCCGGAAAAAAAGTGACTTCTGACCGTTTTTTTTTTACACCGACGACCTTTCAAGCATCCCCGCGGTCACGCCGTCACCAATGGAACTGCTTGCCTCCAGAAGTTCTAGCGGCTCCATCCCTGGAAGCCCTCAGGAGAGACTGGGGCTGCCGTCTGTCAGAAACGGGGCAGGGCGAGGTGGGGTTGGACTAGATGACCTCCAAGGTCCCTTCCGATTCTGTTACTCGGTTGACCGGCGGGGCTGAGCGGGCGGGATGGGGTGGGGGGGGGAGAGTCCCGGGCTGCCAGCGAGCGTGGGAACCCGAGGGGGCGTGGCTGCAGCGGTGGCGTTGCCGCAGCCGTCCAATCGCAGCCTCGCTCGGCGCCCAGCCCCACCCCCCCCCTCGGCTTTCAAAAAGAGCCGCCCCGCCGCGCGCTCCATTCATTCATTCTTGGCCGGCCGGCATCTTCGTGCGCTCCGCGGCTGCCCATGGCTCTCCTGGCGCTGCTGGCCCTCGGCCTGGCCCTGCCCTGCGCCCGCGGCGCCTGGACCGAGGCGAACACGGCCTGCGCCACCCGGGCCACCGGCGGCCGCTCCCGCCTGCTGAGCTTCCTCTGGCTGCGCCCCGACGGCGCCCCGGCCGTGCTGGTGCAGAGCCTCTGGGACCGGCGCGGCGGGCAGCTGCTGGAGTGCGCCTGGCGGGCCGAGCCGGCGCTGACCCGCCGCTACCTGGAGCTCTGCGCCCCGGGACGCCTCCGCGGGCCCCTGGTCCGCGCCTCCTGGGGCCCGCGCCTGCGGGAGGAGCTGGCCGCCTTGGAAGCGCGCCAGGGCGGCTGCAAGGGAGCCCCGGCCGCGGCCAGCCTCCAACCGGCGGGCTGGCGGGAAGCGCAGGCGCGCCCGCGCAGCCGGCGGGGCTTGACGGTTCCCGGGACGCTTTGGTGCGGAGCCGGGCACTCGGCTGAGACCCCCTCCGAGCTGGGTAAGGGTGGAAACGGGGCGTGCTGCAAAGTCCCAGGGAAAGGAAACCGCCCCCTCTTTCCTCCCCCCCCCCGGCCAAATGGTGTAGGTAGGGTCTCTTGCTTGGGAGAAGGGGGTTGGACTAGATGACCTCGCAAGGTCCCTTCCAACTCTGTTATTCGACTCTGTTCTAAATTCCCCCTGTTCCGGCGCCTTTACAAGTCAGGGTGCTTTTCTGGATTATTATTATTATTTTTTTTGGCACACCCACGCGTGGGGGCTGGGAGAAACACAGGCTAGACATTAGGAAGCCTTTCCTGATATGAATCAGCAGACAAGTCGGTGGAATTCCTTGCCACTAGACGCTGCGGTTGGGAAGGCGGGAGGGTTTTGAGAAGCAGTGGCGCTTAAAGGTGGATGCGCCTGCATCTCCCTTTGGGTCTGGGAGGCGGGCTGCCTCCCCAGATGGAGGCTTTCTCTGTAGCTGGCAGATGGTTGTTTGATGGTTGTGAGAGCGGTAAGGCAATTCCACGGACTCAACAGGCCAACATTCTAGAACCCAGCTTGGTTGTTTGCATTTATTTACCTCCCACTTTTATTTTTTTACCAAGTGGGCCAACACATCCAATACGCCTGCCTCTTCTTTTCCCCAAAACAGCAATGTTGTGAGGTGGGGGTGGGCTGAGAGAGGGCGACTGGCTGAAAGTCCCCAGCTGGCTTCCATGCCCAGCATGGGACTAGAACTCCTGATTTTGGGAGTCCAAACCCCTCAAAGTTGCTGAGGCTGAGGAATCCTGGGTTAGAGCCCATTGCACCCCAACATGACTGGGATATCACTTTGCAAATGGGGGGGGGGAGGAAGAGTTAAAAGCTGCAATTCTCTGGAAGAAAGTTACAGGTTATGTTTAAAGAGCTAAACTGACCACAGGAAGTATAGGCCGGTCAACTGCATTTATACCGCTTGCAAAGCTAGTGGCAAGCTTACTATAACCCCTTTTACCAGTTGGTGCCTATGGCCTGGGTACTGGGAAAACACACTTGGAGCATTGTGTATCACACCCACATCCCCTGCCTTGCCCTTAGCTTGCGAGAGCATGTCTGGAAGGATTCCACACAAAGCACATTTCTGCTTCTCCTGTGATGGCCACTGCCGCCTCTATATAGGGTCTCCTGCCTGAGCAGGGGGTTGGACTAGAAGACCTCCAAGGTCCCTCCCAGCTCTGTTATTCTGATGTGCTCTAGCCTTGCTCAAGAGAAGGCTCCAGATGAAATTCCCAGTGGCTCTTTTTCCATCTAATCCCGGTTCCTTCTGTTGCAGGGGTTTTCCAAGGCCCAGACGTGTGCTGTCGTGAGCACGACACGTGCGATGCTCACATCTCAGCTCTGGGATTCAAGTACGGCATCCGCAACTTTCACCTGCACACCATTTCTCACTGCAGCTGTGACAACAGGCGAGTACGGGCTCCTATGAAGCCGGCTGAGGCATTCTGGGAGTTGAAGTCCACAAGTCAAAAAAAGGGCCACGTTTGAAGAGCCCTGGTGTAACCTGACGCCTTCCCAAGATGTTGAACTCACATCCCCATCGCTCTCCTGCGTTGTTGGCCGTGCTGGCGAGGGATGATGGGAGGGGTGGTCCAAAGCACACGGAGACTGGCAGATGGGGAAGAAGAAGAAGACAGCCTTAAGAAGAAGCTGCCTAACCATAAAGTTTTCCCTCTGGCTTCTCAACAGGTTCAGAGACTGCTTGAAGAACCTCAACGACACCATCTCCAACTTCATTGGGAACAGCTTCTTCAACCTGCTGGAAATCCCGTGTTTCTATCTGAAAGAGAGCGAGGATTGCCTTGAGTGGCACTGGTGGGGCGGGTGAGTAAGCCAGCTCTGCCTTTGCCCGAGTGAGGAAACACGCTGAGAACATTGATGTTGCTAAGTGAGACATTTTTGAAGTGAATTTTGTCCTATTTTACGACCTTTGTTGCCACAGTTGCTAAGGGAATCACTGCAGTTGATTAAAAACAGGAACCTGGGTGTTAAGTGGAGCTGGCTTCCCCCACTGACCTCGCTTGTCAGAAGGTCACAAAAGGGGACACCCCAGGACACTGAAACCATCATAAATACGAGTCGGTTGCCAAGCCTCTGAATTTTGGTCACGTGACCATGAGGTCATAAGTGGGGAAAACGGTCGTAAGTCCCTTTTTTCAGTGCCGTTGTGGGGAATCAAGGAATATCTGTTTGATGTTTCCTCAGTTTCTCCCAGAAAGTCCTTGGCTGAACAGCAGGGGTGCTTCCCACATTGGGAAATCTTGATGCAGCCTCAAAATGTACCCGCCTTTCTTGCTGCTATGTCACACAGTTGACTCATTCTCAGCTAGTTTTCTTTTTTTGTTACGATCCAGTTAAAATAAGTTTGTTTAGGATTCTAAGAAGCTTTGATCCGCTGTGGCTCTGGCATCCTTTGCACATACATACATACATACATACATGCATGCATGCATACATTCTTTGCTGTGCCTATGGATTGAATTTATCCAAAAACGAACTTAAATTCAATATTTCCCAACCTTCATGACATCTGGAAACATGGACTTTCCAATTCCCAAATTTCCCAGCCAACACGGCCATTAGTAAGAATATCTCCCTGAGTTGGAGAGCACTGCTGTAATCTATCAAGATCATTTTGGATCTGTTCTTTCCTCAAAGCTACCAGCCGTCCCACCCAGTTCTCTGGTGATTGTAAATCTCCCGTTTTCTCCACCTTGTGCAGGCCATAAATTTAAATTTAGCCCATTTTTTTTTTCCTGGGAGGCTTTAGGCTGAGACGCCTTCTCACGGCTTGTTACATCTTGCTGGACACAGTGGGGCTGAGTTTGCACAAGACACAACTGCAAACTGCCCACCCACAGTACAGCCTAGCATCTTGTGGAAAACTCGCCTCTGTGATTAATTAATAGCTCAGTGCATCACGCCAAAACAGGAGCCGTCCGAATTGCATAACCTGGGTAAGGGTGTGGTGCAAAGACTGAGCAGAGCGCCTGGCCTCTTCTGTCCTCTGCTAGGTGTAAGAAGTATGGCCTGATGCCGCTGGCTCAGTTGGTGGAGCCAAATCCCTATCAGCCCATCGAGAACCCCGACGGTACCACGTCTCCTTCCCAGCCTAGAAGGCATCGGAAGCCCAGCTTGAAAGACAGAAAAGGGCGGAGGAAACAAGCCAAAAAGATGAAGAAGCTGAGTCCCACCACCCAGGGTCCCATCACCCCACTGCCCCCAATCTCCAAGCCGAATCATGCCACTCACATCCTGGGAACAAGCTCCCCAGGTGAGGAGACCATGCCGGGGTCACCTGCCCGTAAAACTACGCTGGAGCCTGATCCCTGGAAGACGGACAGTGGGATTCTCACCACCCATCACCCAGTAGTCCTTCCTGTGGAAGAAAGCTTCTCCAACAAGACTTGGCAGGGAGAGAGGGCCTTTGCTGGCCAGGCCTCTAAGCCAAGACCAGGTAAGGCACAGCCTGAGTATTCCTTCTGGGGCCACTTCAGTGTGGGAGGACTTACGAAAGAGCCGGTAAAATATTGGCTCGTTCTCTCTCGGATTGACAAATGCTGCCTTTCAAAACTTTGTCCCCAAAAAAGAGGAAACTTTTTTGTTTTTCAACCCGATGGTTTTGGCCTCTACCTTGGGAACCAGGTGTTTATGGAGATGGTCCGTCCTCCAGGTCATCGTTATCCCAACGATGCTTTTTTCAGGAGGCAACTGGACTTCCTTGTTTTTTCTTTGAAGACGTTTCGCTTCTCATCCCAGAAGCTTCTTCAGCTCTGACTGGAAGGAACTTATTGGATGAGAAGCTAAATGTCTTCAAAGAAAAAACAAAAACAAAGTCCACTTGCCTCGTGAAAAAGCATCTCTGGGATCATTTGGGAACCAAAGTAAGCCTTTAGCGTTAGACTAGCGCCAGGGAAACCTGGGTTCAAATCCACCCTCTGCTGTAGGAGCTCTGTGGGGTCTTCTTTGTTTGTTTGTCCCTAAAAAACTCCCATGGGCCAGGCCAACTGGGAATTCCAAAAAGGGCTACTCCTTTGGCCAAGTGAAGCTCAGCCTGAAATCTGGTGAGAAGGTTTAAAAGGCCAAAAAAAAAAAAAAAGGGATTGGAAGATGCCCAAATAGTAATCAATGGGATGCAAAACAAAAAAAGTGGGTGGGTGGGCTTGCATTGCTGATTCCCTGCTCCTGACCCCCTCCCTGGCCATGGTGGGAAGAGTTGGGGGGGGGCTTCTGCACCTTGATTCCCCCACTGACCTCTGCCTGCTTGTCTCTCCAGCCCTGTCACGGAGGTGCCGCTGCTACCAACGGCTGGATCAGTGCCCCTTCCAAATTGGCCCCAATGAGTTCAAGTACCAGCTCCACAACTCAGATGGTCGCACTCTCTTCCACTGCAACTGCACCCGCCGGTGAGCATCGTCCCTCCACCTCCAGCCTCCAGTCACTCTGGCAAAGAATGGGGGTGGGTGAGAAGGACCGTAATTCCCAGAATCAGAGAACCGGGGCAGGGCGAGAGGGAGATTCGTGGGCAGCCAGCGGCCGGAAAACTGGCAAATTAAACTGGCACGAATAGCCAACACCCCAGAAGACAGGTTCAAAATCCAGAGGGATCTTTAACCAAATAAAATTCACGGTAGAGAATTTCCTTTAACGCCAGCTGTGAGTCTCCCAAGCCTATTCGAAGCCCTTTTTGCAACTCCAATGTGAGAGTTGTAGTCCTGCCGACTTGTACGGGTGGGTGGGTGGGTGGGTGGGGAAGGGTGCCACCAGGCTAAGGGAGGTTGGTAGGGGGCTTCCCCTGCCCTTTGTGAAGCTGAAGGGGGGGATCCGGGGTTTTTTTTTGCCTCGGCCTGCAGTGTTTGAGGGCATCTACTTGGCTGCACCCCAGAAGATTTGATGCAGGTTTCATTCCTCAGCCATTTCTCCCCCCCCCCCAGGTTGGCCCGGTTCCTGCGCAGGACGAAGGGTCCCAACGAGGTGGAAGAGCAAGTCCTGTCCAACTACATCTCCCCTTCCTGTTTTGTCCTGGAAAACCTCCCAGGCTGTAGGGAGGGAGACGAAAGCTGGCCCAAGTAAGTGGAAGGGAGGGGCGGGGAACGTCCCCCCCCCCCGGTGGTATTATTCCAGAATATCAGGAGGACTCGCAGTCCAGCCTGTCTGGCTTTCCTGTCTGCTGGGTCTGCTCTTTTTTTGGGGGGTGGGGTGGGGAACGCACCCACCCACCAGCTCTTTATTCATGTAGTGCCCACTGAGGATCCCACTTTCCTGTCTCTTCCTCCTGCAGCTGCATCGGCGTTGGCAACGCCATCCTGGCCCCGGCTCGCCACCTCACCAACTGGCTGGTGGGCCAACGGCCGAGGGCCTCTTTCAAAGTGAAGCGCCAGGGAGGGGTTCCCCTTGAGGAGGGAGCCCCCCAGCTGTTCGATAAGTGTGTGCAGCTGGTGCGAGCCGCTCTCCGGCCAGCGCCACGCTGAGCGAGGGCAGCCTTTGTTCCTGCACACACGCGTGTGCGAGAGGGCCAAGCCCAGGAAGTGAACGCGGCAAAACTCAGCCATTCCCCTCCACGTCGTTCCCTGCCTTTGAGCAGGTGTCCGGTGTGGAAGACACAACTGCTGGTGTGAACAAGAAGAGGGTACCCTCTGGAGATCATCCATGGCGCAATACCAGCTGCCCTCCGCCTGCTGCAAGGAACTGGCCTCGGAGGCCCTGGACTCACAAACTCTGGGCCACGGGTGCTTTGGAGCTGGGTGATGGTGCTGAGCCCCAAGCCAAGGGACGGGGAGAGGTGAGGGGGTGACGTCCAGGCTTCACCTCTGCAAGCAGACGGTCTGAATAGGACTCCTTGCTGCGAGAGGCAGGGGTCCCCCACCCCACCCCACCTACGCTCTCCTTGCAAGGAGGCAGCTCGTTAATTTATTAGGGGAGGGAGGGTGTTGTGGGGCCATGAATAAGGTAGCAATAAAATGTTTTCTAACCGTGACTTGAGCTCTTCTTGGTTTGGGGGAAGGAAGGACACCAAGAAGACTGTGGGGAGGGGGCATTGCCTCTTCTCAGCCACCCTCCTCCCCGCCATGTGCGGAGTCACAGCCTTATGGAGCATTTGGAGATGGTTTATTGGAAGGGGTGGGGATTAAGAGAGGTAGGGTGGATTGTTTCAACTCTGAACCCGTCCCAGGGGAGACCCCAAACTGGAGAGAGACCAGCCCCCCCTTCCCAGTCCCCCCTGGCCAGAGTTCTACATTCCAAGTTGTCCTCCGTCCGCAGCCTTGAGCCCCCCCCCCCTCGTGTCTCCTGCTGCTGCTGGCTGGGATTCTGCTGGGGTCTCCCTCACCATAAGCCTGACTGGGCCCTCGGACACTTACAACACGGGGCCTCTGAAAATGGCCTCCTGCCCTCCTTATGGTGCTCATCTCGTCCTGTCTTCATGCAGGGAGCAGCCTCTGAGCTCCTGAGCCAGGAAGCTCCGGGCTGCTCCCGATGAAGATGAGGCAGAGGTGTTCCTTTCTCCGGCTGGTCCTCCCTGTGACAGTGATAGAGGGATCCAGCTTGGGGTGCCGACCTTGGTGTTTGGTGGGAGAAAGAGCTGTCCCCAAGAAGGACGAGGGTTGAGCAGCACAAGTGGGTGGCTGAGAGGGTCAGGCCGTTGGTCGGGCTCTGATGCAGACATGGGGCAATTGTCAAGCTGATGGGATGGGTGGCACCATGGCAGCTCCTCGTCTGGGTCTGTGCCTCACCGGGATAGCTGCATGGAGGGAGGGCAAGGCTCGGCCAAGACAGGAATGGGCAAAGGGCATCGGCACGCTCACAACGCACACTACGCAGGATAGTTGCCCGGTGGGTTCGGCTGCCTTAGTGTCTGGTTTCACAGCTGTAGCTGTGGGGATCGTGGGGTGCCCCCTCTTGTGGGGAAGTACTAAAGAGGGCCGCAAGCCCTGCCGTGGGGCTGGTGGGGCTCATCCTTCGTCCAGGCAGGCTCGGGTCAGTGCTGTCACGCCGGGACCCCATGACACGATCCACCGTCTCCAAGCGCACAGCAGGCAGCAAGCCCAGATTCCGGGGATCGGCCCGGGACGGCGGAGTCTCCTCGAAGCGCCAGCCTGTCCGGGACTGGGAGGCATTGGAGGTAGAGGAGGAGGAGGAGGAGGCCTGGGCGTTCTGCACCATCTCCCGCGACTTGGAGCGGTGCCGTGGGCTGTCCTTGGAAAACTGGATGCTGGGAATGTCCGCCTTCAGGATGGTGCTATGGCGGCGTCCTTGGGGCGAGGGGCTACGGCTGGCCCCTTGGTCTCGGCTGGTGGATCGCAAGAGCAGCCCCTGGAACTTGGCCAGGCTGGGGCTGCGGCTGCGGTGGCGGTGCATCTTCCCGGGGCTGGGGCTGCGGGATTTGGGGCCGAGGAGCACCAGCGTGCTGTCATCGTCCTCTTCAGAGGTGCTGTTGGTGCTGTCTGTGGCGCTGCTGACTTGTTCCAAGGTGGGCAAGGAGATCTAGGCCAGGAAAACGGGGAGAGGAGAAGGAAAGTCAACTTTCCTCAAATCACAAGCACTGTTCGTACATCCCCCCCAGGAACCGAGAGAAGCAGGGCCCTGGGGGGCTTTGGGGGCCACAGGCTTCCTGCCCTCCAGATACTCACCTGGAAGGGATCTGTGACTCCCACCATGCAGCTGCAGTTGTTGCTATAGTAGCCAAGGATGTAGTCGCCCTTCCCTTTAGGCAGGCACTCCTCGGGAAAGCTTAGCTAGAGATGGAAGAGAGAAAAAGTGTTGGGGAGGCTGAAGCACATACGCCCGAGACAAATTCCTTGTGTTTCCAATCACACTTGGCCAATAAAGAATTCTATTCTATTCTTATTTCTATCCTATTCTGTTCTGTTCTTATTCTATTCAATTCTATTCTCTAATTCTATTCTACTATTCTTCTATTCTATTCTATTCTATTCTATTCTCTAATTCTATTCTACTATTCTATTCTATTCTATTCTATTCTATTCTATTCTATTCTATTCTATTCTATTCTATTCCATATTCCATATTCCATATTCCATATTCCATATTCCATATTCCATATTCCATATTCTATTCTATTCTATTCTATTCTATTCTATTCTATTCTATTCCTATTCCTATTCCTATTCCTATTCTTATTCCTATTAATTTCTATTCTATTCAATGAAATTGTTCACTGGGGGGGGGAGGGCTTGCTCCCACAGCGCAAATATAACCATCTAGTCAGCCCATCACCGTGGATGTTGCCTCTTTCTGAGATCAAACCTTTTGGCCTGGCAGACAGGAAGCTCCATTTGCTCACATGCAATTACCTGGTAGAGGTGGCTCTCTGTATCTTCCTGCTTGGCCCATACATAGGCTATGTAGTCCTTGCAGTGCCGGAAACCCACCTAAGGGGGGGGGAAAGAAATCCCGAGAAGTTCACTCAGTGCCTCCCCTGTGGCTGCTGAGAGACCCAGGTGATTCTGCTTATCTGTCCACTGCTGTGAGGAATTCACACCGCCTTTTAATTCAGGGGTCCCCAACCCCCTGGGCTGTGGCCTTGAGCCCTTCGGAATTGCAATGATTCACAGTGGCCAGAAAAGTCATAAAGTGGGGCAAACGTTTCACTTAGCGACATAAATGTTGGGCTCAGTTGTGGCTGACTCCCTGTAAGAGTGGTGCCTACTTCCTTTACTCACTATGTACTGATGTATCTTACTCAACCTTCTCGAGGCAACCACTCAGCCTCGGGACTTCTTTGTAAGTTACTAACAGCTTGCCCGACCAGCCCTTCTCACCCGATAGAGGGCGATCCAATCCCAGGAGCTGCGGTGGAAAACTAAGGACGTCCTGTAACGGACCACGGCTTGCTCCGGCTTGGTCCACTCGTCCGCCACTTGCATCTCCACCAGGGGTATATCAGCTCGGGAACCAAACTGCCAAAAAGAGGAAGGATCAACCCTGTTCATCATTCATGGTTATCTCCTTCGCTGTCAATATCCTCTCTCTCTCTCTCTCCTGGGCCCGGTGGCTTGTATTTTTAATACGGTATTGTTTTCTATGTATTTAACAACGCTTGCTTTTAAATATTTACACTTTTGTGGGATCCTTGGTGTTTTCGGAGCCTGGCTTGTTAGCCTCAAGAGGTTTCGTTACCAGGCTAGGTATACAGTTCGTTTAGGGACCGTTTGAAGTTACAACAGCACTGAAAAAGGTGATTTAAGACCGTTTTTCACAGCTACGACCTTTGCCACATCCTCAGGATCACGTGATCCAAATTCAGACGCTTGGCAACTAGCTCATATTGATGACCATCGCAGTATCCCAGGATCATGTGATCCCCTTTTGCGATCGTCTGACAAGCAAAGGGAATGGGGAAGCCAGATTACTTAACAACCTGTCAAAACGTAGTTCTAGGTTGCTTCTCTCCTTGATGAGTTTCCCTCCATCGTTTCTTGTCCTGCCTTTGGGTGCTTTGGAGAATAAGTTGACCCCCCTCTTCTCTGTGGCAGCCCCTCAAATACTGGAATACTGCTATCCTGTCCCCCCCCCCCCGGTCCTTCTTTTCTCTAGAATCTAGATTATCCATACCCAATTCCCACAGGGTGGCGTTTCTGAGCAGACCAGACTAGCATAACTGAAGATCAAAGTAGGAACAGGGCCAAAGTGAGGTTTCTTCCTAAAAGTTCTACTTTGCAGCACGCAGTTAAAGCTCTCAGTGGCACAACCACAGCTATCCTCAGGCTCAGGTGTGTGTGTGTGTGTGTGTGT